AAATGTCTTCCAGGCATCTCATTATTTCAAATATTATTGTTTCAGCAGATGCATCTTCTGTGTGATGATTTTCATCTTGGTCCTAATTGTTTTGGAAATTTTTGGAAGCCTGTCATCATTGCTGCCTACTTGGGCATTTCAGCAGTTGTCATATTCATCTGGAGAATTATCTTTCCTGTGAGTGCACCAACATGTCATATTTTTAGTCACATTAAGATGGGATGGTATAGTCACTGGTCCTTTTAATTTCAGTATGTACTATAAACGTCTTCTATAAGCACAACTTCCACTGCATATTCCACTAATTATCACAATTCCTACTTTCATTATCATTTAGACTAAAATATTTTAAATTCTAATGGAATTAAAAAAAAAACCTTACATACTGCAAAAGTGAACTTGAAAGTGCATTGTTTAATCTCCAAATAGTTCATATTTTTCCAACTATTTTGTTACTGATTTCTAGTTTAAGTCCATGGTGACCTAAGAGCAAACTATACCATTTCTGGGAAGAGTGAATATCTTGTGAAAGACCCAATTCTCCTTGTTCATCTCTTATATTATCTTCCTTCACTTTTCATTAAGCTATACTTACTAGGTAGATTGTTGTTATTATTATTATTATCTGGCTAATGTTATATAGAACAAACAGTTACATGACAGATCAATTAAGAAATAGGTTAAGTTTGACCTTCATTTGTTCCTTCTCTAATGCTCCTCCTTTCACTATGGAGATGAGAGTTGCTGACTTCTATTATTTGTCTTGTATAAAGAACCTCCTTTATACTTCTTGTCAGACAGGCTTACTGGAGACCATATCACTTGATTTCTGTCTTTCTCGGAAAGTCTTTATTCCTTCTAAACTTGAGAATAATAATTGTGCAAGATAGAATTCTAGGTTGATGGTTCTGTGCATTTAACATTTTGTAATTCCACTTTTTTTCTTAATAACCAAGGCTTCTGAAGAGAAGTTTCATGTTATTCTTATTTTTTGTTTCTTGGCAAAGTATTTCTACCTCTCTGGTACCTTCTAGGACTTTTCTTTGTCTTTCATGTTCTGGGCTTTGAATATTATATTACTAGGTGTTGATTTTGTGGTATTTATT